GGGGGGGGGGGGGGGGGGGGGGGGGGGGGGGGGGGGGGGGGGGGGGGGGGGGTAGAGGACAAACGTGCTCCCTTCCAATCTATTAAATCACTCTCACGCCCAGTCACATCGCCTAGCAACATCAATGAAAGCTCGATTTACAGTAGTCCCTCGAGTGAGTGTTGTCGGTGAGCGGAGTGTGGGTCCACACCACAATCGGTCTTCTCCCGGCTCTCTCACGTACGCACCAACGCACCCATCCTCAATCAAACCACTTCACGGCGTACGGTGCAGTTTCTTCGTCCCCCAGTCTTTGTAGATCACTTTGTCTTTTCGGTCTGAGGGTTCGATTCCCCGGCACCTGGGTGTGGAGCACGCCAAGCAAGGAGAGGGCGGAGGGCGGGCAGAGGAGTCGGAGGGGGTGAGAGGGCGAAGGGAGTGGTGAGGGAAAACACGACTCAAAATGCACGTACTCGTTGTTTTACTACTGTGGTTCTTATGGATCCCGAACTTGTTGTTGTGTATGGTACGCGTTGCACTCAATACTCGCAACAAGGGGAAATCGTAGAAAGGCGGAGGCTTCAAGAAGTGGAAGAGGCAGGAGGACTAAAATAGTTATTCTCTCACACCATGTTGAAAACGTTCACCAGAGTAATATGTTCTGAGACAGAGATCAGCAAGGCAGTTCTTCAACCGATCAAACTCACGTCAACCTACCCTACAATGTCATCCGGGAACAAAGTGATTTGCCTCGTTCTACCCAACGCAACGGTTTGGGTTGGGAATGGGTTCGGTCGTTCGAAGACAGTTGGCTAACGCAGGCCGTATCAGCCCACAAATTCCATATCGATGAGTACAAATCCTGAGCATCGTGCTGCTATCATTGACAAAGGGACTTGCTCGTCGCTTGCTCTTCGAAACAAACCGTGGTAAGTTCAAACAAAGGACACACACGGACTCGGGGTCGAAAATACATCGGTTCAGGGGTGGGTTGGCACAAACAAGAGGGAGCCCACAAAACCGGGACTCACCAATCTGACGCTCGTAAATCGGGATGCGTAGCGCCACTTACCCGCAGAGGCAGAACTTGCCGTGGCTTGCACGACCATCGCCGGCAACACCCGTACCCGAACCGGCGACTCCATTCTTTTGCCTTGCCTTGAGGGTGTTCAACTGGCCCTTGAGAACGTCGAACTTCCTGTCGTCGTCGCCTTGTAGGTACCTGTCGCAAGCAAAGGTAGGGACGTCGGCGACAAGGTCCAAAACCTTCGAATATGGATCCTGGTTGTTTCGGGTGGTTCCTTCCAAATCTCTCTCCTCTCTCCGTCCTGACTCGTCGAGGTGTGGATATCACTGTCCCTGCAAAGGCCTGAGCAACAACATGCGAGAGATTCCGGACAACCAGACCGAGTCGATAAGGAGGTACACAAGCCGGTGATGGTAGAATTTCTCGCATGGGGTGACGCTGGAAGCGAGACATATAGGAGCTCCCACCTGTTTATTCTGCCCCACCCAAGGCTGGCTCTGCCGTTCTTAACCGCGGACATCATCACGGTGAATTCTTCGAAGTCGACGCAGTCGCTGCCGTCATGGTCGACCTTGAACACAACGCACACGGACAGGGAGATGATGAATGAAGAGTTTGGGCGTCAGCATGTTCGCCGCAACACGCATCGTCGACCACCGCAGCGGGAAAAATAGGTTTAGGGTGCATCCCGTGCGATTTCGACAAGACGGTAAACCACCTCATCCCGAGTGTGATGTTCAACGCTCGTCCCCCTTCACAGCCCTCGAGACGGGTTCGATCTTTCAGTTAGCCTGCCACGCGCCTGCACCCATACTGAAGGCCATCCTAGCGTTCGTACGAAGCATGTTCCAGCCGAGAATTTTTTCTCGGACGATGGAAGTGCTTTCAATTAGTTGACGAAAGTAGAGAAGAAGCAGTGTCGAGGATCTCCGAGGTACTTGCCTCTGGCGCAAAACATGCCTAAAGAACTGTGTTCCTGCTGCACACCAGCATGGGGTTCTGTACCTCGCGGATAAGAGCTTTGAGACGTCCTGGGGGAACGGCCTCTCCGAAAGACTTGAGGACTAGGCCTAGCTCGTCGGCGTCTATGGTGCCGTTGCCGTCGAGGTCCATCTTGGCGAAGGCTTTCCTGTACACGAACACAAATAAGGACCATGTGAACATGGAGTTCTCCAATCACTGTCGACAGACGGGTCCCCGTCGGCAAGGGGCCTTCTTCGCACCACTTAATATTCTTTTGCGCAGGTGTGACGTGAAAGGCATGTACATATGATGTTTTTTTTCCAACGCACTTACTGCAGACCCGCCAGCTCTTCCTCGCTGAAGGTCGTCTTCAGGAGGTCCTGCCTTAGTTTGTCGTTGAGGAAGAATTTCACCTACGCAAAACGGTTCCAAGGCGATGACGGTCTTGTTTTCGTTCAAAGCGCCGGGCGAAACGAGAAAACAGCAGAAGGAGTCCTGGAGATGAGCTCTGAACGAGCCTTGATCACACGTACACAAAATCATCTCATGAGTCAAGGTCAAATTTTTCTAGTTGACTTCGTTGAAGACATGGAGATTAAGGGTACAGCTGCTGCAAGATGCGTTAACATGCTGCAAGATGTGTAAACATCGGCTCAATGAAGACAACATCAGGTCTGATAGATGCGAGAACAAGCCAGTTGACCGAATGACAAGCATTTCTACGTGAGACACCAACAAAAGGCACACACGCAGAACTGACTCTTGAAGACGAGGAATAGTGCTGTTTCTTTCACTTCTTGATTATCACAGCCACTGTTGCAATCACGAAGAAGGTAAGCAGCAACATTATCGTACTACCTTCGCGGGGTTGTGGAACGAGTCTCCAGTTCAGAGTTACATAGGTCCACCAAAGTTCGGGTGCCACCATCCGAACAATGTGTCGACGGAAAAGCAATTATTTTATTTTGGGGAGTCGTATTCTTCCGGTTCGACCTTGGAACCATTGTTGTGTGCAGGTACCGAGTTTTTCGCCGGCCCACGGAGCGTGATGTGCTTTGTCGTGCTGGCACATGGCAACGTTCCTTCGGCTCAACCCCCTGGCTTTTTCTACCTCCGTAGGCGTCGTCCAAGACGCCTGGCCAGTATCCTTGTTGACGAAGTACGCTCGCCGGACAACCGGGTGCACGAGCTTTTCCCAGTTGCCCATGCGCTTCCCGGGATCTCGTTCTACCAGGGCTAGCTTTCTCGAGGATACGCTGTTCGGCATCACGCTGACAAGGAAGCATCCGACGCGAACGAGCGAACGCTTGTCTTGGCCGGTTGAAAAAAAGCATCGAATTGCATCGCGTGGGGATGGACCTTCTAACGACGACTGCGGGAGAGCTTCACGCTACACCCCCTTGCCAAAGTTTAGGGAAAAATGCGACCACTATTGCCAAAGAGACCCCCCTTGTCAAAATCAGGAAAAGGTGCGACCACTATCGCCAAAGAGATCTGATCCAGCCTGTCCGGCAAAAAGAAGTCAAGGGCGGACATCCACCGCTTCCGATTGTGTTCGGAGGTTAGTTGTGTTGGATATAAAGGAGCCAAGTTGGACACGCGAAGACCTATAGATATTCCACTAGAACCCAAATAACAAACCGCCCACAGCGTGAACGATGTTTAGGATCGAGCAGGACGGTGCCCCCACAAAACCTAGTTGAACGATGACGATGGCGACTCAAATCCAGAATAGGCAATTAATTGTTGAAAGCAAAGGAACAGGGTCGCTTGCCATGAGAGCATTTCATGCACGCAGGCATACCTCGCTACAATGGCGTCCCACACCCGCCTTCCGATTGACCTCCTCGTGCTCTTGGGGCCCTTGATACCCCACAGCAGGGCCAAGAACTGCCTGTAGGTCACGCTGGGCAAGTCCCTCCCGCCCTTCACGCCTTCCCAGCCTTCCGCCTTCAGCCGTCGTACCACCTGGCTCCAAAAAGAGAAGGCCAATGTTAGCGTCACTCACTGCGACTTAAACCGAGAAATACAGCTGTAGTGCGATACCTCGTGAATGACTACTATACACCCCAGAAGAGCGTTATGCAATCTGATTCAAGAAGACGTTGATGTTCCAGCACTCATTTGAGAGGTGATATGGAATTTTGCAAACAATGTACGGGTACCCGTAACTCACGCGGCTTCAACAAAAAGCACTTCTAGTGGCTATCACTCAAGCTGTGGTGTACCAGATGCTCTGCACAATGCTCGATAGGCAAGACTTTTGATTTACTATTGGAATACTTCGTAGGGACTTTCGAGACGTGCCCCCATTGGTTCGGAATGTTTTAACTCGGTTTCTTTTACCTCTTTACGGCGGGTAGCAAGGGCGAAACGGCACTTCGGGTGACGTTGTTGCCAACAGCTAAGCAGACGGAGGTGAAGAAAACACACACACACACACACACACCTCGACCTCGCGGAGAGGCTCCCCTATCCTCGGAAGCACGTCCATTATGTCGTCGATCGCCACCAACGTGCTGCTCTGCATTTCCGCCATTGTTCGAAACTCCTGCTTTTGTTTTAAGGAGATGTGAAAAGTTTGGCTTCATCGCTTGGGCAAGGCATGGAGAAAGCAAGGCAAATATTATCGAGCGCTAGATGAAGAAACGAGAGTAGGCCCTCAACTCAGACCTTCGTGACTACAGTTGGTTTCACGCCCACTGAAGCTACACCATTGCACAGAAGGGGGACACGATGGAGTGCGGCAACTACCGGGGCATCTCTCTCGTCGCACACGCCGGCAAGGTGCTGCTTAAGGTCGTCGCTACACGACTGAGCCACTACTGCGAGCGAGAGGGCATCCTCCCGGAGGAGCAGAGCGGTTTCCGCCCACACCGGTCGACGCTCGACATGCTGTTCGCCATCCAGCGGCTCCATGACCTCGCGAGGAAGAAGAGTACTGCGGTCTTCGCCTGCTTCGTCGACCTCACCAAGGCATACGATTCGGTGGACCGAGACCTACTGTGGGACGTGCTCCAACGCTTCGGCGTGCCCCCGAAGACGCTGGCGGTCATTCGCCACTTCCACGAGGGCATGAGGGCGCGCGTCCGAACGGACGACGGGCGGGTACTCGGAATGGTTCGACGTGGGCCAAGGCCTCCGACAGGGATGCAACCTGGCCCCGCTGCTGTTCAACTTGTTCTTTGCCGCGATGCTCATGGTCGCCGTGGCCGAGTTCGACAAGGACCCCAAGGTGACGGCGGACATGGTCAAGATCGGGACACAAGTGGAGTACACGGGCAAGAAGGGCAGGTCGGCGGGGAGGAAGACGACGGTGGGAACGGACGCGGAGGCCTTGTGGGCCATGCTCTACGCTGACGACGCGGCCATCGTCTCGCGCTCGCCGGAGAGTCTCGAGAAGATGATGTCGGTCATCGTGCGCGTGGCCGGCCTGTTCGGACTGATGGTGTCGGAGCCAAAGACGGAGATCATGTGCATGCTGCCAAAAGGGATCGAGGAACGCCCGTTCACGGTCAGCGCCGCCGGCCAGACGTACAAGCAGACAGATCGGTTTGTGTACCTCGGACGTACCATCTCCGCGGACGGGAAGGCCGACCGGGAGATCACGAGCCGCAGCTGCCGAGCGTGGAAGTGCTACCGCCGGAACAGTGCTTCGATGTACGACAGGCGACGGGCCGACCGCCAGCTCAAGATCCGTCTACTCCAGGCTAAAGTTGTGGAGACTCTCCTGTATGGGTGCGCCTCGTGGGGCCTAACAGCGGAGCACTACACGAAGCTCAATGGGACCCACCGTCAGTTCCTCACACGGTGCATCGGCTGGAGCAAGCGGAAACGCTCAGACCGCCCCCTGTCCTATGCCCAGGCCCTCATCCAGGCAGGCTGCGAGGAAACCATCGAGGCCACCGTGCGCAAACGGAGGCTGTGTTTTGCGGGCTTCGTTATGCGCATGGAGGACAACCGCCTCCCCAAGCGCATGCTGCTGGGAGCGATGGCGGGGGGTACCGGATACCGGGGCGGGCAGGAGAGCGACTGGGTGTATCGCCTAGGAGAGGACCTCGTGGCGTTTGGCATGAAAGAGGAGAAGGAGGGGGGGAGATGGAAAGAGAGCGCCAAGGACCAGGAGGCGTGGTACGACAAGATCGAGGACGGGGCGGCATGGTTCATGAGGAAATGGCACAGGCAGGAGGCGGAAGCGTCCGCGAAGCGCCAGCGCGCGAGGGGAGCAGAAGCAGAGAGTACGGTCATCTCAGGACCGAAGAGAGAGTCGGGGAAGCGGCGGTGGGGGGAAAGAAACGGCGACCGGTCACTGCTGTAGAAGCGAGCAGGGCGGCCGAGGAAGCACCTATGGCGAACTATGTACCCGGCTGATGTTGTTGCGCCCTGTTTCCCTCCCTACTGTATGCTATATTCCTTTATGTATGTCCTTTGTACTGCCTTCGGCCTCTGTGCTGTGTTTCTATTTTTTTTCATGTCCTCCCTGCCTACTCTGCTGCGTTGGGTACCATTATCTCACTTTTGCTGTTGCTTTTGTTTTTTTNATGGCGAACTATGTACCCGGCTGATGTTGTTGCGCCCTGTTTCCCTCCCTACTGTATGCTATATNCGAAGAGAGAGTCGGGGAAGCGGCGGTGGGGGGAAAGAAACGGCGACCGGTCACTGCTGTAGAAGCGAGCAGGGCGGCCGAGGAAGCACCTATGGCGAACTATGTACCCGGCTGATGTTGTTGCGCCCTGTTTCCCTCCCTACTGTATGCTATATTCCTTTATGTATGTCCTTTGTACTGCCTTCGGCCTCTGTGCTGTGTTTCTATTTTTTTTCATGTCCTCCCTGCCTACTCTGCTGCGTTGGGTACCATTATCTCACTTTTGCTGTTGCTTTTGTTTTTTTTACACCTGGCTGTCTGCCCATCTGCCGCCTCTTTGTCCTGTTTGCTCCGTTACTCCCATGCCCTGGTGCGTAGTGCCTGGTGCTGGTACGTTACCCTTTGATTTTTTCTTAAGGCGGGTGTGGAAAGCGTCCTCCTTTATTCTTGTTTTTGTGAAATTTTGATCGGTTTCCGAGGGCTCTTTTCTCGAACGGTCGGCGCGGTACCTGGTATTTCCTTTTTATCATTTTGTTTTCTTTTTCCGAGTGGTTTGTACCCTATTATTGTTTTGTCTCCCCGCGGCGTCGTATGTGCCGGGTTTTGAGACCACAGGCTCCCCATTTTTGGTGGACTATTGAGCTAATGTGAGGAACAGCAACAACAACAACTCCATGTGGACGACAGTGCGACTGGATTCCGCCCACAATAGTTTCGTACACGTGTGAATTCGCGTGGGAGGGTAGCATGCTACGGATCGGAGGGAATCTCCAGAACAACTGGGAGCCTGCAGCGAAGGGACAGATCGTGAAAACATCGGTAGTATGCCTGTCAGAGTTGTTCCTTGCTTGAGTCCAGTTGCGGTGTTGATATTCGCCTGGCCGCTCATGCAATTGTCAGACACAACAAGCTTACCTCGGAAAGGGTCTCTGTTTCCCCCGGCGTAAACCTGAGGAACAGGTCGGTCTCGACGAAGTACGGGTTGCACTCCGGCCTTTCCGAGCTTGTCTGGCCCGTCTTGACGTTCGTGTACACCGACTGCGTGTGATTTGTGGAAAAGAAGCACGAGGAATGACACCGGTTTTGTTCTAGGGTATCCTCGAGCAAGGACACGCAAACGTTCTCGGAAGAACCCGGTTGAGACTCTGCAACAGCGAGACACACTTTTGACAGCAATAGTTATGACATTGAACCTTGCCTTTCAGAAACGCTTGAGTTCACTGCGATGCTTTGGAAACCGGTGTGATATTTTGTGTGCCACAGGAGCACCTTTGTACGATCTGAAACGCGGTGGTGAGAATGTCGACGCATCTTGTCGAGAAGTCAATGGCATATCAATATGCTGCTTGCCAAGAAGGTGGTTGCAGTAGTACACTATGCGTTTGTTCGCCCCCCCGCACCGCCTTGCTCTCCGTGAAGGCCGGAGTTTGTTGATGAGTTCGTTGCTTTGACTCCACGCTAATCATTTCGAAGAACCAACCAGGGGTCCCCACCACAACGTGTAGCAACCGCTGTCCGTCGGAGTATTAAATTCTGTGCATGCAGGTTTACCTTGCCGGTGACGGCGTTGAACTTTTGCTTCCAACCGTCGGGGAGCGGCTCGTTCGGACGCACAGCCACGGAGGGCTCGCTCTCCGCGCTGTCGCCTTCGAGAGTCCTCGAAGCGACCGTGAACCTGTCGTCGGGGAGAAGAGTGTGGAGAAGACAACAAGACCAAAAGAGGATGGCTTGCAACCGACACTAAGACTTTCCAAGTATTTCAAAGAATCGTGCACTTGCTGTGCCTTTTAGAAGCGCGTCATGAGTCAAGAAAAATCGGGGCAACAAGACTATTCGAACGAGCTTTGGACACGAAAACATGCAGTCATCCACGAGTCCGTGAGAAACGGGGGCGATTACACCAGTGCGAGAGTTCATAGCACAAGCAGCCCTAATCAATCCAGATATTTGAGAGTAACGTCACCTGTAGACAAGCCCGTTTGATAACGCTTTCACGGCGGTGGACACGGCCTTGGCATCGTCTACATTTGTAGCGCCTTTCTTGTGCCACTCGCGGCCATCCAATCGGTAGCGGTACACGACGAATCCAATCGTCACGGGAGGTGAACATTTTTCCTCGTCGCGTGCCACCGAACTTTCCACGGCGCGATCTCCACTTCCTCCTCGTCCGCTCCCATCCTTTGCTTTGGTCGTTGTTGCTTTCGTGTTTCTCCCAATGTGCTGCGGCGCTTCTCTTCCTTCTGGTAAGGATGGTAGTTTCCACCAAACAACGGCTCCTTGGTTCTGAGCGACGGCCTCGACGTGTGTGGGGGGCAACCCGTACGCTGTTCTTGGCGCCCATCCGAGCGGGTAACGTGGGGAAATTTCTCAGGGCGAATGCAAACACCGGTGCACTATCACAAATGTGCCCGGCCTAACTGAGGAGCGTCATTGATGGGATCGGCCATGTCGATTTTTCCTCCACTTTCCGTCCGCCGGCATGCTCGTACACTGTATTGACTTGGTGACGATAGGACATAGGCGCGCGTTTTCTACTCGGTACAGGAATGGTCACAAGACAAAACAGCGACGACAACCACAATGACTACAACGACGATGTCAGCAACAACGTCAACATCATATAGCTCACTCTTCCTCCGCTTTCGAGGGTCTTCGGGCGTAAGGTTGGGGGATATGCTGTTTGGCGCGTCGGCGAGTGTCCAGAACGTCTCCTTGGTCTCCTTGTCGTAGTAGTAGTGCTTGCCGGTAGCCTTGTCCAGAACGCGCTTGAAGCGAGAAGGTGCGGTCTCTCCTCCCTCGCCTCCAGCTACTGCCGTGTTGGCCATTCGTCATGTTTCGTTAGACAAAATTTTATTGATTCACAAGTTTGTACGTTGCAAACTCCCTTGTACATCAGATCCGAAAGACAGCGGTGTGGGGTCGAGAATGTCGGGTGTTGGATTCCAACGGTGCTCTGATGTTGTACAAGAGAAATGAGAGTCATCGATGGGTACGCTGTTCCTCCCCACTATTACATCGCCCACATTCAAAGCTACGTTGCAATTCTTGCCCGATACATGTATATTTGTCTCCCATCATTGGACTCTGTCGTCTGCCCCTCTGGCCCCTATCCACCACTTCTACCAGCTAGGCGACCCAACCGGGGTCACATAGGAGGGGGGGGTTGGACCCCCTCCTGCGGTTCCTGCCTAAGGATATTTTTATCGCGAGAAGGGTACAGCAACCCCTTCCCTCGCGACCTATGAAGTCGATCAAGTTTGATATGTCCCGTGCTTGTATCTGTCAAAGAGGAGGAGTCTCCCCATATGACTCCGCTCAATACTATGGCTACAGCCTGTGGAACACGCACAATTAATTGTACTTGGTACTAGCCGTTCGTCGCCATTGATAAACCTTTCAAGACATTAAAAGTTTCTGCGCGTCCCATTGGCGTTCGCACTCTATCAAGCAAAGTCCAGTCCCACCCTCGGTAAAGCACCGTTCAATCCAGTCAAGCACTCTAAACGCGACCGATCACAGCTGCGGGTGGGCTGCGTACACCGGCTCACGCCGTTCACAGCATTGGGCATCTACGGGATCGATCGCGCATCAGTCAAAGGTTGTTTTTCCTCGTCAACACCATGGTAGTCAACGCCACCTATGAGTCAAAAGTTTGTCATCAGCCCCCCCCGCTCCCCTTTTCCCTCCTCCCCTCCCCCTCCCCCCCTCCCCCTTCTTCCTTCCTCCCCTCGAGGAGATCATATAATGTTGGCTCATCTGGCGTCTCTTCTCAGAAGGGATGCGGTGTTTTGGTTAAGATACCTAGCCAAACAGCGATGGCATACGCCCCCCAGTCCGCCGCCTTCTCCCCGGCCACCATGGACCTTGCGGAATGTAAACGAAGCCAATGTGAAGAATCTAGCATTTAAAATACAGCGGCTGCTACGCTTGAGTTTAGCGCTGCCGCCGTGAACTTCTTAGGTAGTGCATGGAACGGGCCTGCCTATGTTGGACAGAGGGTACGGGATACAAGAATGAAGGCGTCGTCTAGTCTACATACCTAACACCAGAGAAGAAGTAGGAGCGGTCGGCGTGCCACTCTTGCTGACTGGGCGTGAAGATGGAGTTGTTGTATGGCGGGGACGCCGCTCTGGCGTTGGAGGCGTCGGTGCCATCGCGAGGTCGACGACACCGCCTGAGAAGTACATTACGAAAGCGGCAGCGCCCCGAGAATGACACGAGAGGTTCAATGTGAAGCCTCTAGACCTTGTGTGGGATACATTAGTCAATATTGGGAAAACGTTCTCCAAGTACTGTCGTGGTAGAGGAAGCGCGCTCAATGTGTGTTCCCTCTTTCTCCCACATTTCGTCTCCACTTTCTCCCTCTATCGAAGTGGTGCCTATCGTTCGAATTCAGCCTAAAAGCACCGATTTGGGACTGTAGCCCTGTTTCTCAGGCTTCCCCCATGCGTGATCGTCTACTGCCTGGCCAATAGACTATTCTTCAACGTCGTCACGTGTGTGAATTGTGATAACTTATGCGAGCGCTAGCTGTTGTTGTTGACGGCACTGCCTGCGCTTGATGTTGTTATGCCCAGAAGGAACTTAGATATGGCACATTATATGGACCCTAGCTACTGTCGGAGACAGAGGCCGGTGCCTTGGCAGTATTATCCCACTGCCAGGGGAAGGCTATTTCCTCTCGTGATATGTAAACGAGGAGAAGAGGGTAGAAAGAGAGAGAGTGGCCAGAGAGAGCAGAGGGGAGAGGAGAGTCGAAGACTCTCCGCTTCTCCTTTCGGCAAGTGGCCATGGACTTCGGAAGAGACAAATCTCCGACGGTGCTTTTCTTCTCACTCTCCCAGTGACAAGATACCCCGATGGAGCTATATCTTCCTACACTTTGTATGTGCACTCATGGTTGGTTATACTCCCGACAGGTGTCCTCCACATCACCCCCCCCTCTATGCGCCACAAGTCCATCTGTGCTAAAGATGTGCTTTTGGCGGTCAGAGACATGAGTGGCTCATGGAGACACATGTATCGGAGTTAACCTACCAGGTACAACATCATCAACTCGGCCTGATCGTCGTACAATGCGTGTTAAAAAAAACACGGAGTCTTCAGACAGAGTAGTGATCGATGTGGTCCATACTAGTATAGTCTAGAAAAAAAACAATTTGAGTACTGGGCTGTCATGGTGACAGCTAGTGTACTGTAATATTTCGCATGATCATGCTTGTGTAGCATGCTATGCTGTGGGGTTGATGAGGGATAACTTGTAATGAGGTAGCCCTCTGGCAAGTTAATCTTTCATCATAGTTAAAAAAAAAAAAAAAATTGATGAGCGATACAAAGCTTGTAATGAGGTTACCCTCCGGCAAGTCTGTCTACTCATCATACGAAAAGATTTCGGTGAGGAATAAACTTGTAAATGAGGTGACCCTCTGGCAAGTTTATCTTTTCACCGGACAATAAGATCTTGATGCGGGATGAACTTGTAATGAGGTGACCCTCTGGCAAGTTTACCTATTCATCAAAAATAAGATCTCGATGAGGGATGAACTTGTAATGAGGTGACCCTCTGGCAAGTTTACCTATTCTTCAAAAATAAGATCTCGATGAGGGATGAGCTTGTAATGAGGTGACCCTCTAGCAAGCTTATCTATTCATAAAAAAAAAACGATCTTGGGATGACGGTGGTTTAGTTCAACTCTCCTCGTGAGTGCTTCCCCAAACACTTAAAAAAATAGGTTGTTTCCAATGGATACAACCAACCACCGTGGCTACTGGTCCTGTGCTAAATATAACACAGAATAATAGTAGTAGAAAATGTCCCAAGCGTCGGAACAGATAGATATGGCAACTGTTAGGAACGACAGAATAACTCAATCGTTTAATTTCCGGGCCCTAAATCGTTTTCGGTTGCTCGTACGGCAGGGTAATTGGGTATTACTCTGTGTCATAGCAGAACGCGATTTGGGTAATGGAACCTCCTTTAGGTGCCTTCGTCGTTTCCTGGTTTTGTTCAATGGCTCAGGGCCACTTTGCGTAACCACTTTTCGACTTGAAGGTTCTTGAGGAGTAGTTGCCTGTTTTCGTTTTCGTTTCCCTGTTTTACTGGGTGATTTTGGGTCTCCCTGTTCTACTGGGGCACGAGACGAAGATTTATTAAACTGCACGATGTCCAAACCACAGCGGATTCGGTAGGCAGCTATCATCCCTTGACATTGTGGAATTTCGTCTGCTCTATATTCAAGGTCTGACTCAGGGCCGTATCCTCGAAGACGCAAACGATACTTGTAGTTGTACGGGGTTTTCGGCCCCCTACCACTCTTATGGCTTACCACTTTGTCCACGACATAGGATTCAATTTTCGGTTGAGCTTCGTCGGGATGGTCTAGCTCGGGCAACGGAATCTGGCGTCCTAAGAAAAACTCGGAAAGTTTATCAAAGTCTGGCGCAGGTGGCGTTTTCCTCGCGTGGTACCGTTTAATGTGGGCTAAATGGACCGAAACTTCACGAGTTTCGTTCTGGCGTCTCACTCTATATACCACCGGTGATAATTTAGAGCAGATGACGTAAGGTCCTCTCCACGGTAACAATAGTTTCGGATTTGGTCCATCCGAATCCTGGTATGGGCGGTACACAAGTACTAGATCGCCAGGATTAAACACAGGGATAGGGCGCAGTTTAGCGTTCTTGGCAGCTTGTTTTTGTGTGCGTTCCGATAGGTTACGGCGCGCAAGTTCAAAAGCAACCTGTAAATTTTCCTGTGTAGTTTTAGAGAATTCCTCGGTATTTGCTGTTGTTCCCACGTGAGGGATGCCGAGAATGATGTCAACTGGTAGTCGTGGCTTCCGTCCAAACATAAGAAAGAATGGTGTTTCATGCATGGTGGAGCTAAATGACGTGTTGTAAGCCAGTTGGACAAAAGGCAGCAGTGATGCCCAGTTATCGCGGTTCATGGAACTATGCATGGCAAGCATTGCGTGCATGGTAGCATGTACTCGTTCTGAAACAGAATTACCTTGCGGACGGTACGGTGTCGTGCGGGTTTTCCTGTAGTTCAGAATACGCTGTAGTTGCTGGACGACACTGTTCTCAAATTCAGGTCCTTGGTCGGAATGCAACATTTCAGGCGATCCAAAGATGCTGATGATGCGGTCGATAATGGCCTGCGCGACAGTGATTGCTGACTTGTTGGGAATCGGAGTCAACACGGTGAATCGGGTTAGGTGGTCCATCATGGATAGGACATATTTGCACCGTACCCCGGCGGCTGAAACTGATTCTACTTTATATTCAACTAGGTCAACCGAAATACGTTCGAACGGTCTTTGTACTGGTACATGTCCCGTTGGTAATTTGTTTCGATTGTGGGCTGTTTTTCGACGTTGACAAGCTTGGCATTGTTCACACCAAGTACGGACGTCCCGATTCATGGTTGGCCACCAGTATTTCTGGCGGATCTTCTCATAAGTCGGTCTAGACGCTAAGTGGCCTCCAGATAATACGTGGTCGTGATAGGCGTGCAGCACTAGTCCGGTAAGGGCCTGAGGCAACACTAATTGGTCACTAAACGTACTACGTTTCCGGAGGTAGCCTGGTAAATACGATTTAAACAGCAATCCATCACGCATGAAGTAGTACGACATGGAAGTGGTTGTCTCGTTATCAGGTAAATGGGCGTCAGTTTTTGTAAGATAGTCGACATATGTGCCATATTCAAGAGCTTGTTTCTCACGCAAGATATCGCGGTTAATAGTTTCAAATACGTTGGTCGCACTAATATACACTGATTTCTCAGCGAATAATTCGCGATCACTTTGAACCGGTCGCAAGTTATCCAATCGATCTGCAGACACTTGGTACGGACGTGATGGAACATTCGAGTGCAGCGCAGGGTCATCAGGCACATTCCTACATATCGGTGCAAGTTGCGGTGCTTCCAACTGTTGTTGGTGATCGAACGCAAACAACCGCGATAGGGTGTCTGGGACTACATGTAACTTTCCTGGCTTGTGTCGCACTGTAAAGTCAAAGGACTGCAAAGCGATTGCCCATCTGGTCAACATATTAGACGTGTCTTGCATAGTGTACAAATATCTCAATGCCGCGTGATCCGTGACAACTTCGAAATGTCTGCCCCATAAGTAGGGTCGCCAGTGTTGTAAACTCAAGACCACACCGTAACATTCTTTCATCGTCGCAGAGTAGTGACGTTGAGCTTTGTTAAATCGTTGGCTAAAATAAGCGATAATATTCACGTCGTCGCCGTTCTTTTGGCCCAGGAATGCTCCTGCACCAACTTCACTAGCATCTACGTGAACCACGAAGTCTTTGGTAAAGTCAGGGAAACATAACACAGGTGCTTTGCTGAGTAAACGTTTGATATCTGCAAAAGCCTTATCATGTTCCTGGTTCCAACGTTTTGCGATTGATTTTACATGCTCTTTTTGTGTGAGTCCGACTAGCGGTGCGATGACCGTAGAAAGGTCGGGTATAAATTTCCTCACATAGTTAACCATTCCCAATACTGAGCGAAGTGCTTTGATTGTTTTGGGTACAGGCAAGTCGATAATAGATTGTATACGATCTTCCCCAATGCGAATCCCTTTTGCAGACAGTATGTGCCCCAGGTATTTTACTTCCTGTGGTCCAAATTGTACTTTAGAGGGTTTCAAGGTAAGACCGGCCGCTTGGAGTGCTTGGAGCATGCTTTCTAATAAGGTTAGATGGCTCTCCCAATTTGAGCTGCAGCAAATAATGTCGTCCATGTACACCAAAAGTCCACTGCGTGGTCCGAAGTGAGAGAAAGCCAGAGACATCATACGAGCAAACAGAAAAGGAGCATTCGCAATTCCGAAGGGGAGGCGTTTGAAAACCCATTTCCCTTTGTGTGTCACAAAAGCAGTCTTTTCTTGCTCTGCTTCGTCTACTTCAATTTGGTGGTAGGCTGACTGAATATCGCAGACAGTAATAAATTTTGCACCTCCAACGGTATCAATATGAGATTCTATATCTGGCATGGGCCAAGATTTTCGAATTAGACTCTTGTTGATAGTAGAGCGATAGTCAACGCAGAATCGAGGAGTGCCATCAGCTTTTGCTACGATGGTAACAGCAGATCCCCATGAACTGGGTCTCTGTTCAATAATCTCCTCGTCTTCCATTTGTTCCACACACTTGTCGATAACTTCTTGCGCTCTAGGATTAGTACGATAGGGAGCACGATCGACTGGTTTAGTGCCTGGTTCTAGCGGAAAATCTGCCTTGGCTATCTTGCATTTTCCGAGCTCCTTCGGAGATAATGAAAACACATTACGGTATTTCGCGCATAAATCCAAGACTTGCGAGCATTGTTGAGGAGTAAATGTAGTGTTCGTGAACGCTTTTTTCATGGCTCGTTTCAACTCGTCTCGCTTGTGTCGGAATGTGGTTTGGTCGCTATTGACAGCGCTAACTGTTTTATCGGCAACCGATTTTACTGGCGAAATGTACCCCAAAATAGTGTCGCGTGCAATGTGAACGTGTCGTTTGGATGGATTAGCAACTTGTACTGCAGCGGACTTGTCCTTTGCTGACCAATTGCATACCGTTCTAGCGACTACGATTGTACGGAACGCTTCGGGTATATTTTCAGACGTTTCGATGTCTTGGGCAGTGACAATCCGTGGCTCGACCAACGCAGGCGTGTTTGCCTGTGGTGCGTGTTTTGTCACGACGTCTACTGCCATTTCACTTTCGGGGGGGATGCAGAATCTCTTAGAGAGATATACGGGCACCGCTCCTATCGATGGGTCAAGCGTCACTATGGAAATTTGCGCTGGGGCATCACTATTGGTGTCCGCTTGACTATTCGTTCGTTTGTGAGTTGCCGGAATTTTTCGTCTAGAATTTTTAAACGAAAGTTGCTCACCGCACCAATCAAGGACGGCACCAAAGGCATTCATAATGCTATTATCGAGCAACATCTTATCCGGACCTAGGTTGGGCAACACGAGAGCCTCCACTGGTAGTGTTATGTCTCCCAGTGTGAGCTTAAAACGGATGTATCCTAGGATTTTTAACGCTGAGCCGTCTGCACTATTCAACTGAATTGCGCCAGGAGGCACAGGTTTCAGAGGTAAACGTTGCAGGACTGGATGCGATTTAATAAAAGACGCTGATATACACGGTACATCAGCTGCTGTGTCGATAGTGAGGTCAGACACAGCGTGATTACAAACTCGGGCAGGAATTCGCACTCTCTTGGAGGACGAATTTAACGCATTCGGATGTTGTGGATATTTACTCAGTGCTGACGCATGAAACGCCGCATAAGTGGGTCCACCACTCGATGCACTTGAAACAGAGGCACGTCTTTCCGTGTTATGATTAAATGGCATACTACCAGTCAGTACAAATTCAGCTTGCGGGGCTAACCTAGAAGTCGGCGCACGAGTGCGTTTGTTCTTCCTATTTTTCCCTGCTTTGCTACTTGACCGACTATGAAACGGTGCCTGGGCAGAATCTGTTACCGATGTCTCAGAATTACTGCTAAAATCTTGAACGGACTTCACATCACCACCTCTCACCCGAGGAAAAAATGATTCCCTCGATTTGCTACTGTCATGCACATCCGGGGCTGAGTCAACTCGGGCATTCTGTGCTACATGAGTTTCTTCAGCTAATGGTGTGCTATCGACCTGTCTCCCTACGAGCGAGGAGTCCCGTGAAGGGCCCCGTCAAGCTTTAGTCCAAGTCCATCCCTTGTCTTGAGCGTGTTTTTTCTTTAAACCGCACTGTTCAAGGGGATGGTTGAACTTGCATCCCGGGTAGGGGCACGGTTCTTCTTTCGATGCCGAGGAAGAATTGCCTTTACCCGCGGTGCGCGCCTTTTTCGGGGCACCCTGACTCGCTGTGCTGTTCTTGTTCGAGGACACAGTCTGCTTCAGCTGTAGGGGTTCAGGGTACGCGACAGCAGATACGGTGTCGGATATGGGTGACGCTGCGCCTCTCAGATTATTTGCCTCGTGTTTTTTCGCGCGAAGTCTTGCGTCCTGAAATGAGTTTGGAGGGTCCTCTCGAACACACTCTACTCTAATGTGAGGTTTCAGGCCGTTCTCAAATGTGGCAGTCATGAAAACGTCCCATGCGTGTTCGTAGTGGCTAATGTGGGAGGGACCTGAACGAGCAGCCTCTGCGAGGAGGCGTGTGCGGGCCTGAGTAACTTTGAGCGCAAACCCGTCCACTGTCGTCTCTCCTTCCTGCCTGAGAGCGGCTATTTCTCTAGCTAATACCGCAATGCGGTTGGGCGCGGAGAAATGAAAGGTGAAAGCTTGACAGTATTCATCCCAAGTTGCCGGTGCTCGAGGTCTGACAACTTGTCCTGCATTCCGAAGTGCGGTCAACCGGTGTGCCGATCGCCATTCGAGAGTACCACTAACCAGTTCCACTAGAGTGTCATAGGCTTGGCCTCGAATGACGAAGGGGAGGAATTGAATCGCTCTTTGGTCTACTACAGATTCGGCCGGGTCGTCTGCTGCAACAGAGGCTAGTTTCACACGTGCTCGGTATTTGGTCAGTATCTCAACAACATCGGAATCTCCTGGTTTCCCCGAAAACGATATTTCTTTCGGAAGGTCGTTCTGGCGAAAAGTAAATTTCTGGATGTGTCCCGATGTATGTGTTGAGGTAGGGGTGCTTGTGGGCAGAGAAAAATGCGCCAGTGGAGGTGTAGACAGCAGTGCTACAGGGTTGCTAGGCCTGTATGTGCTGTCCTGGCTATCCGGAGTAGATGCCGACTCGGGTGCGACAGGGTTGCTACGCCTGTAATCACTATTCTGGCTATCCGGAGTAGATGCTAAACCAGGGGCTAGGTTCCGAGGATGGGCAGGTGTGTTCTGAGTGACAGTAGGCAAGATTGGTTGACGGAGAACTAGGTCGGGGGAGGTGCTACCTCCACTGCTCTGATTTTCCTCAACTGGTATACTGCTACGTGCTGTCGACGAAGTATTCACCTGAGCCACTTCCTCTGCAGAAGCCGGAGTCGTGGTGGTGGGAGGTGCGGTGGGGCGGAAGAGGGACACCAGCCACTCGGGTGGAGTGGACTTCTCCGTCCAGTGGCGTGAGAGCATGTCAGCAAACTGGCCCCCAGCGGAGGTCATGAGCGCGTGCCGATCGTCCGCGGACACGTTCTGTGACCGGAAGCCGTCGAGCAACTCGTACATGACATGCCGTTCGCTCTCGTTGCCCCATTCCCCTTCGTCGCCGTCGTTGTCGTCCTCGTCGCTCCCGTTCTCTGTCCCCTCGGGGGTAGCACCTTTCTCCTCGCCGGTGGCTGGCGCGGCCTCCTCGGGAATCGGCTCCTGTTGGGGCCGATCTCCCCGAGAGGGACCCTGCACAGACACACGCTCCGAGGGGGTGCCCCTTCCCGGTGGGGTAGAGGTCGACAGCGACGGGGGGACAGTACCGGCGAGCTTCCGCCGCAGCTCCTCGAGCTCCCGCTCCTGGTTCGCTAGCGCCGCATCTTTTTCAGCTACCAGTGCTGCCGCCTCCCTGACTTGTTCGCGAAGCTCTTTCTTGCGTTGCGAGGAGCTTTTCGTCATTTTCTCGTCGTTTCTATTTTTTCTTCTCTCCTCGCTACAGTAGTCACGGCGGAGCCGTGTTCTAGTCGACGCCGATATGGACCCTAGCTACTGTCGGAGACAGAGGCCGGTGCCTTGGCAGTATTATCCCACTGCCAGGGGAAGGCTATTTCCTCTCGTGATATGTAAACGAGGAGAAGAGGGTAGAAAGAGAGAGAGTGGCCAGAGAGAGCAGAGGGGAGAGGAGAGTCGAAGACTCTCCGCTTCTCCTTTCGGCAAGTGGCCATGGACTTCGGAAGAGACAAATCTCCGACGGTGCTTTTCTTCTCACTCTCCCAGTGACAAGATACCCCGATGGAGCTATATCTTCCTACACTTTGTATGTGCACTCATGGTTGGTTATACTCCCGACAGGTGTCCTCCACAATTATCTAGATTTATTATTATTATTTTTTTTCTTTGTTGTCGTTGTGTTCACATAATAATTGATAGCCAACATTATTCCAAGGGCCTGCGACTGAAAGCCTGGCGATGAGAGCATCATGCACATATGCCGCACAGCGTTGACGGCTAAAAAGCCATATTTTACGCAAAATATGCGACATCACATCAAAGCACGTTGTCTGGACTATTCTAAGACTTTGCGATGCTAAAGCCACGCCTTACTTTTACTCCAACGGCTTACATTCTTCGCCGTCCATTAGGCTGCCTTATAGAAGTAAAACGTAGCGTTTCTGCCAGCGATTCACGAAGTTGTTCGGCATCGTGACCAGCCACACACTTCCCTCTTTCGTCTTCAGCCAACTGTGAATTCCCTGTCTGTCTCTAATCTTTCACGCTATTTATAATAGTCTAAGGGCACACATTCTTAGATGAGTAAATATAGTGGTCCAACAACACTCAAGCCAACGACGCAAGCTGACCGCCAATCACGTCCGCAGCCATCCCAGTATCTCGCTATCATACCTGTTGGCGAGATTACAAGGGCCGACGAGCATTGCTCACTGCTAGCGTCGGCTGGCGGTGCCTTTTTACTCAGAGGCATACCCCACGTACGTACGAGGCTCTCTTCAAACGGTGTCATAGACTGCCGTAGAACGGCATCACGAGAACACGGGAACCTCACTCGGCTCGTCCTCTGTTTTTTAGAATACAATCAAATGATTATTTTTCCTGGTAGAGAGAGTCCCCACTCGAGGCAATACGGTGTCCGAGCGTTCGAGCAAGAGGTGGATTGAAGTCTTTCCCCGCATACCTTTCGCTGAATTTTCAGGATTTTTCGCGCGAAAAGTTCGTCGAAGGAAACAACCGTTTCACACGAAAGGGAACTTGATGGCAGGGAGAACGTTTTTTTGGGGGGGTGCGTATGGCCTGTCGGGGCGCTTCCTTTTCTTCTTCGTGTTTTGGCATGTGTTGGGGTATTGGTGTTGTGCATGAATGACTCTATTCTGCTGTGTGGGTTTTATTGTGAAGGCGTGTTTCCAAGTCTGTAACCGTCAGGTGAAGACAGCCTGGGCCCCTGTGTGTGGATAATAAATCACTGCTGTGTGTTCTCTACCCAAGCCTCCGTCACATACGCCAGCCACAGCATACAACAACAGCCGTTGTCGTGCTGTTAGGTCTTGAGCCTCGCGCGATAGGGGAACAGACACGAGTCACATGGCGTCCGCAGCTCCCATCACGAATCCCATGCAACGTGGGTTTGTGCCTTTTGATGGTGATGATGCGAGCTTCCCTGGATGGGTCACTCTCACACGGGGCTTGATGCATAGTCTAGTCCTAAGTCTGGCCTCGGAAAGATAATGTCGGGAAAGAACAACCTCCTGAAGCTCTGACGGGAGATGAAGCCCCGGACGAACGGGTGGCGCATGCCACTGTGATGGAGAAATTCGTAAAGAGAAGGCGAACTGTGCATGCGGCTTCTGAAGCCGTTGTCGTTCGTGCTGTTAGCAGGAACATCACAAGTGCGCCTCCTCCGTTAACGGGCCAGAGTAGGTAGCTATCGTCCAGGCCGCGGATAACTTACCAAGGTCTGCGGTGGTATACTCCTCGACCAACACACCCTTGTCCGTATATAATGCCACGAGTTTTGAAGAGCAAGTACAAATCGGTCTGTAGTCTTACATTATGGATACAAACGTGTAAACGCGACGAGTATCGTCGGCGTTGCCTGCCTGAAACTGTTTTTTCCTTGCCGGTTCGCGCTGTATTTTCGCGGAATAATTTAGGCTATCTAGACGGCTGATGACCACCCACAACGCTCACTCGATGTTAGAATGGATTGCCCGTGCTGCATGTGGGTATTCGGTAGGGTGTCACGAGCTCAAGAGACAAATATATTGAACCGGTCTCGAGTCTACAGCCATCTTTACAGCAGTACCCCTGGACATCAAGCGTAATGTGCAAAGTCATGTATATATATATATATAGGTTGACAGCCTTCGAGAAAAAAAAGTCCAAGTGTTGCAGTCGAGAGCACGAGCACCAACAGCAGCAGAGCAGTAGTATCGAACGACCACAGCAGGTTGGTAGCTGGGTTCGTGCGTAGTGAATGGTGGATGACTTCGCGCCGACAGTAGGAACTCTCTAAGTTGTTCAATCCAGGGATGTGGGCGGGAATACAACGTTACTGCAGACTGGATTGGCCTTAATTGATATGTCCCGGGCGAAGCCACCAACAACCGCACCCACCGACAGTGTATCCTGCCTGGCGTTTTGGGTGCTCTTCAGACTTGATGCGCTTGCCCTCCTGAGACTTTCGTCTCGAGATGCGGAAGACATGACGTTACGAGAAATCCGTCCTTCTGGGACACTTCGGCCGAAGGGCAAGCTCGCATTAACGGGAGGTAACGGTCAACGCTGAATCCGCCCCTAAATCTTTACTCTCTGTTGCAGATGTGAATCATGCATACTCAGACCAAGGATAGTCCATGCTGGTTTCATTGCTCTTATCTTTATTTGTGCCACTAGAGGCACAACAATCACATCCACGACAGCGCGTGGCACACATGGATGGACCCGTGCGTCATCGGCCTCAAAAACAAAAAATGGCACATGAGAAACAACCAGAAAAAGAAGATGGCATCAGCAACACGACGACTTTTTGTATTCGACGACAAAAAAGGGTACATAGTCTACCAACATCGTGAGAACTGAAGTGAATAATCTTGGCAAATTTCGGCGGCACCTTACTACTGTTGTAACAAGAGTACACAACCTTTTTCCCGGGCCATCCTGGTCCCTGCCTTTCCCCCCGCAACCCCCGAAAAACTGAAACATGTGTTAATAATAGTATTCCACGGGAAGAAGCAAATCACGCCCCCAATTCAAACAGATAAAAAAACAGACAACACGCCACCTTCTGCGCCTTCTGCTGTCCAGAAGAAGGGCCACCGCGGAAGACAAGGGGTGCGCTTCAAGCTGCCGTCAGCCCAAAGGGGTATCAACCACGCCACTCCACCCATCCATGTGTTGGTGAAAAGCCCATCCATCCAAACAAGCAAACGCACCCGAAGTGTACCTACCGCTTTCCTGTGCGTGCCACGGCGGCACAATACCGGCTCGCCCGTTGCCCACGAAACATTCATTTCATCGGCCTGCAGCCACAACTGCTGGGCGTAAGGGAGGATTTCTGCCCGAGAAACTTGTGGGTACTGGCAGACAAAACACCTCTGCTTGGACGTGTGTGCGAATGAACGATAGGGATACATTTTGCAATGGTTTTGCACCTGAGGAAATGCCTCCTGTCCGCCCCCCAGCCTTCCAACCCCCCGGAGAGCCAAAGGGGATCTGATCTTTCACAACATTAACAAGTTTATTCTCCCGATTTTCCCCTTCATTTTACTCCAAAGCTCCCGAAAAAGTCGTCATCTTCCTGCGCGCGAGCAGCGGGTGCAGCGGCAGCAGCATTAGCTGTCTTGCGTGATGCGGGAGCACCCCCAGAGGCGGGTGCCTGATGATATTATCACAGCAGACGACGGACGGGCGAGAAAAGGAGGCAGTGCGGTCAATCGGAAGTTTGAGGAACAGAGATACTTAGCACGCGCAGAGATCAAAGGGGAGGGGGTACTCGTGTTTTGAATGCCCTACTCCTGTATTTCTACCATTGACCACGCGTCCTTGAGACGACGGAGAACTGTTCCAACAGCACCGATCGAGGGCAGAGAAGAGGGGGCATCAAGTCAACAAGTAATAGAAACTAGTGAGCCTGCAGTCACCGGTTCGGCTCGTTCATGTTGTAAGCGGAAGAGTGCAAACCATCGCACAGTGGGTGGGCGGGCGGGCGGGCGGGCGGGGGCAGTCAAATAAGCATGGATACGTAGTACCGAGGATCGGGTAGACGAGGAGGGATAGAGGTTTACTCACCTTTTGCTTCAAACGATAACATTGGCTTGCAGTCTTCGTTTCGGGAGACTAATCCCCCATGCCCCGATGCTACTTCAAAGTTGGTAACATCGGTCGCTTGATGGTCCGCTATCCTCCCGCGATTGTTTCACACAATCTTTTCGACACTCTGCTCCTTGGCGTTAATTTCGCGAAACGTTTTGCGTCCTCGTTACCAACCTGTGCTATATCTCAGGTTGAAACGAGTTGGACTGTGCTCGTTCTTGGGTGCTTCAATACGTGGTACGCAGTTGCTTAGCATGGACATCCGTGCGTCGTTCGTACGGCCATGGCGGCGGCACGTTTTCACTCGGTTCCATGTTGTGTCAGCGCCCTTGTGTCCAAACACATACGGCTCCCGTGAGACACCGACAGCAAAACGAAAAATCGCAAAATAATTGCAACAGGATCGACGATACATCCACATCAACCGGTTCGAGCATTCAACCGTCCGTAGGCCATCAATATACGGGGACCCGTGACATTCCACAACCTAGCTTTACGCTCGATCCCACCAAACCGTGTCGGGGGGGGGGAGGGGCGCACAGGGCGCGAGGCTACCGACCGACGGTGGTGGCAGAATATGGCGCGCCGCCCCATGTGCCGTGTCAAACAAACCATACGGGCTTACAACCACGATTCTACGCCTCACGAGCGGAA